TTCTAACCCAGGCTTCTTCATAACTTTTACGTGACATATTTTTGTGGTGAGATAAAAGCATATTTTCAAGGACTGCCAAATACAGAAGAGAACCTTTGCCTACTTGATTTTACCGACAGAGCAAACCAAACAGCAGAGCCGTGGCGATGTCAGAGGTCACAAAGCATGAATCAGACTCTCAAAAAAAAGCCTGTTTTCTCTTGAAGAGAAAAACAAACCAAAGAAAACAACTCCCTCGCCATGATGCAATGTTTTGGATTTGCCTCTTCACTTCCTTGTCAGTCCCCCGTGGGTGTGGAAGATGTGTGAGCTCTCAGATGCCCAGTGGGAGGGGGCTCAGCCCCCCAGAGGGGACCCCAGCCCCCCTCTCCAGCAGTACAGGTTCCCACACCAGCCCAGCTCACCAGCCTGAGGACCCAAGGGACACTCACCACAGCTGGAGGAAGAGGGAGCCCCAGGAGCTTGCACCCACTTGCCAAACACTGCACACAAGAAGCAAAGAGCTAACACCAGCAGCAGAGGCACAACAAGCTGGTGGGCTTTATCTGCTCCATCTTCCTCGTGGGAGGGTTTCAGGTCCTGCTGAGGGCCTCCAGATGGGCATGCTGGCTCATCAGGAGCTCAATTAGCTCAATTATCAGAGGCGGTGGGTAGAGAGTGAGCTGGAGGTGGCGAGCAGGCACCAGGCTCTGGGTCCCAGCTGCAGCCTGAGGAGCAGTGGGGCTGAGAAAGCGCTGTCGCAGGAGCACGGCGAGGGAGCTGGGTTTCTCGCGAGGCCGGTCCCTCTCCTGCAATTGGTCCCTGATGCTCCTGTGCCTTGCGGGCACCTCCACCAGGCACCACAGGGGTTGGTCACTGGTGCAAACGCTACCCACCGGGCATTTGTTCAGGAGGTTTTCATGTGCTTGGAGAAGTTTCTTTACCCTTGAAGATGACACCTCCTCATTGAGGTACACACCCTTAGCTGCAAAACACCTTTGCCAATAATTACTGTTATTTACATACACTTTAGGAATATGTAGCAGATGAAAAGCACAAATGGCCTTCAAAACCCAGGCTGCTGCTCAGATAAAAGTGCTTGCACAACCAGCATTGGCAGCACCTGAGCTGTGGAGCCTTCTGCTCCTGCACCAGCTGATCCCACCTGAGCCCCTGTGTGGTCAGGCCCCCAGTCCAGCAGCAGCCGGTGTAATTTCAGAAATCAAAGCTTTATGTTGGCAGCAACAATCATTCAAGAAAATTATTTTTTCAGAGAGCGAAGTGCAGTAAATAAATCTTCAGATGCGTAGCTTAAGGTGTAAGGCAATCTCTGTCTGTAATCAAAATGATTTGTTAAGGGGAGCTCAGCTGAGAGGAACAACGCTCCCATTAGTTTCTGCATGATCGGGAGTGCTAACAGATCCCAGGCTGGAATTAAGAGAGGAGGACAAGCAGGAATGAGTGATCTCATTTGTTCTTTTAAATCTGAATTACTGTTCTGAAAATGCAGCGTGGTAAATAGAACTTCAGCGTTAAATGCCAGGGCAACAGCCTTGACTTTTTATGGCTTCTGTAGTTAGAGGAATGTGATTTTAACAAAGAAATCCTTGCAATTTCAACACAAAATGCTGCTGGTTTCTCGGCTGAGGTCAGTCCCACCATGGCCTCTGCAAACCCTTTGTGGATCTTTGAGCAGCCAAACAGGCTGACATTAAAGGAAAATAAATCCAATCGGTCTGGACTGGGGTTGTTGCATGAATGCGCAGAGGCCGGACTGTGGTGTAGATCAAGGAGCACAGAGGGGTTTTAGGCGTCAGAATCTGCTCCAGCAGAAGGAAACAAGACCACCCGTTTGCCGGGCACCCACGGCGCTGGTTCTGCGATCCAAATGAACCACCGGTGTAGCCTGGGGAGAGGTGTTGGGCCCAGTGGTGACTCGGGTCTTTCTGTGAAGGACAGGCTGTGCAATCTTTTCTAAGCTTTGCCTTCGCTTCTGAAAATCTGAAAGTTTTACATTACTGGAAAGAACGGCTTTATTCCCTGAAACCAGTTCCGTGTCGGATGTCTGCTTAATGGGTTTCTTTTTTTTACCCAGAGCGAGAGAATCACCTAGCAGAAGGTACACGCATGGCTGTTCTCACACGTTGTGTATCAACCTTCCTCTGTTATTTTTGGTGGTGTGTGTTTCCTCAGGCTGAGCGAGTGGAACAAATAACCCTCCTCTCTTAATTACGAGCTTCTTGGCACAGTTCGTTATGACATGTAAAACCCAAACGGGTCACCAGGCAACTCCCCCCTTCTTGTAAGTGCCTCAGGATGCACTTTTCTGAAAGCAATCCTTTTAATTGCTGGAAACAGAAACGCCTAAGATGCAATTTAACTGGCACAACTGCAAATGCTTAAGCGTAGTGGCAAGACCGATGTGCCCGCTCCCAAGAAACTGAAATTCTGAATTTAATTTTAACTTTTAGGCAGGTTTCACTGCTTCAAATTTTTAAAACCAAAGTTAAGGAGCAGCCTCGGTTTCTGTTCCCTCCTAAGAGTTCTTTTTGTGTCCTCAGTAACGCCTTTTTTTCCAACACTTCAGTATCAGAACTCCTACTTCTCCTTAAAAGAGGAGGAAAACGCAAGCCTCCCCGCCTCCGTGGCTCACGGCGTGGCAGCGCTCGTAACGGCAAGGCCGCCGTCGGCCATTTCTCTTTCTTCCTCGTTTCCATTGTGTTTTGGAACGATCTTTTCAGCAGCAGCCACTGACAGGTAAGAGCGCCTGCGTGTTTGCAGGTTTGCGTAAGCCCTGACCCTGTCTGTAGGAGCGGATTTGATCGCTCCCATCTGCCGTCTCTGTCAGCACCTGAACAGGCACGTTGGGATTTGCCCGCTGGGGAGAAGGCGGCGCAGTGCAGAGCCTGGCACCCATTTGTTTGCGGGGGTTAAATAAGTCTTCACATCTACAGTAAGGATTTAAATTAGTTCTCTGGAATTCCACTAAATTACACGATATCGTAGAAGAACCAGCAAATTCTAAGAGCTACAGCGGGCATTTGAACAAGGAATTTCCACTCAGCACCAACTGCTAACAGGTTCACTTGTCCTGGAGTACAGAATGAAATTGTAAACTACGAGGCAGAGGCTCTGAAGAAGCTGTTCAGTGCATATATGAGATGGCAGTGATTTATGTGCTGTTTATACAAGACGGTGCCTGATTTGATAACTGCTTCCGAGCAGAAATAAAGGCCCAAATCAGCTCACGGAATTTTGTGAACTCGGGGAGAACGCACAGCAGTTCATCCGCAGGAAAAGATTGGCTTCAGATACTGAGTATTTGGACCACAATTGCATCTTCCTCCTTGTATCTTGGAAATACAGAATCACAGAATCATTTGGTTGGAAAAATCATTCAGGTTGGAAAAGCCCTTTAAGCTCCCCCAGCCCAACCGTTCCCCTACCCCTGCCATCCCCCCTCCAAACCCTGGCCCTCAGCACCACCTCTGCCCGGCTGTTAAATCCCCCCCGGGGTGGGGGAGCGATGAGGGCTCCCCTCAGCCCCCTCTGCTCCAGGCTGAACCCCCCCAGCTCCCCCAGCCGCTCCCCAGCAGCCTGGGGCCCCAGACCCCTCCCCAGCTCCGCTGCCCTTCTCTGGACACGCTCCAGCACCATAGAAAGGAGCCGTGTGATGCTTTCTCTGATTTCCACCTCTCAGCCCTTTAGGTAGGAAATTGTCCTTGGTTTGAAGTAACATGAAAATTATTTCTGGTAATTTGGAGGGAGGTGGTTAAAAGTTTACAGGCAAAGAGATTACAACTGCACTATTTCCTCTACAAATTCTCCTGCCCGTTGGCTTTTGAAGTCAACCGCCATCATCGGAGACCCTTCTGGACACAGCCAGTGTTTAAACAAGAGCCTACACCAACTCGGGAATTTTTTCTCTGGTTTTCCAAGTGCTTTTGCAGCAAAACTTCTTGGATGTAGTGTATTTCAGTAATCAATTCCATGTTTTTATTCTCCTCTGGGCTCAAGATGGAGAACAGCTGATGAAAGCCCTGAATTAAACACAGGCATTACCTTCAAAGACAAGAACCAGACCACTGTAAGTTTAAAAAAACCAAACGTTGGATTTTATTATTTTTAGACCATTTAAAAAAAAGACCGAAAGGATTTAAAAAACCATTACCATCCCACATAGCCATGGCTCTGTAAAAACATCCCGCTTGCTGAAGCACACACATCATGTGTTCTCTTTAGCTGTGAAGTCATGGAATGGCTTGTATCTGTTGTTGCCATTAAGTGGGGGTTTTTTCATGGTAAGCAAAACTACTATTTTTTTTTTTTTTTTTTTTTTTTTTTTTTTTTTACCATTTGTGCCATATTAGCAACTGCCTGCTCAGAAAACGGGTGTCCAAATGCTCTCCTGCTTTGTATTTTGCTGTATCTCTGGCTGAGGTCATACCAGGGCATCTTAGTAGCAAATAAAGGAATTAATTGGTAAAGAAAAGCAAAGACTGTTGTTAAAGAGTCCTGCATCGCAGAAGAAGCCCTAAGGTGTGTCATTTATTTCAAGACTGCTCATTCCCTTGGGAATGGATCTCCTGAAATGCCACACCCAGAACACGAGCAAGGTTCCCTCGCTGTAGAACAGCTACTCTAGAAAAGACAACACAGATTACACCAAAAAACCACCCCACAAACCCCTAAGCCCAAGTCTCAGCCTTATTTAGGAGCGTTACTCGTGAATACCGAAAGCTTTCTTCAAAAGCAACAAACTGGGCAGCTGCAGCAGGTGTCGGCGCTGGCAAGAGCTGAAATGGCGGTGGTGACGCACGCCAGGCTGCGGTGGGGCCTTGGTTTTGTTAGACCAAGGAAGCGCGCTAGGTTATACCCACTGCTTTGCTCAATGCTGGTTTTATTTAGCCTTCGCCAGTATCGCATCTTTGCTTAATACCAACGCCAGCTTCAGGATGCCGCCGCCACAGAGAACCGCGCTGG